ATATACTTGACAAATTAATTACCTTATTTTTGCGAAATTTGTTAGAACTTTATTAATCTTTACTTTAGCAACAAATTACCTCCCAATGCCCATAGTGTTAAGCTTCTTATCAGGAAGTATCCTAGTCATCCTATAGATTGCTTTATCTAAACCATCAGCAATGTCGTGTAACTTAAGGAAATACTTTTTATTCAAAATTTGAGAAATGGCTTGTCTCAGTTGGGTTTTGGTCCTAGTCAATTCATGTAACTTGGTAATGCTTACCTAATTTAGCCAATAAATTTAATATATTTGGAGGAAAACTTGCATGCTAATCGTTATAGCATAACTGTAGGGCCCAGTAGACTTTGTTCTCCAAATGAGCTAGGCTGTTCATACTCTATACACTGCAATAGTGTTTATGAAGGCAATGAAGGTAATAAGTTGCTCTAACCTTTATCAAAGATTTCCATGAAGTAGTTGTGGTTTTTCACCAATAAATTTTGTTCTGCTTAAGAGTATTGTTCCTCGGGGCTATAGGATGGTGCTTAGTTGCTCTTTAGATCAAAATCGATCATTTCATTCTTCAATGATTCCAAGACAATTTTTGTAAGCTTTTCACGAGGCCAAATTACATTTCGCAAAAACTGCTGGAAATCAGCTGGAGGCGCAAAGTTGTGATGAAGTCAATTTTTTCTCTTTTAATTTCAGTTTAAATTAACTTCCCCTTTTTAGACGCCCTTTGGTGATGATGCCTATCGTTGGAATCCATCATTCCAACAACTGCGACTCATTCTTCGCATCATACGCCGCCTGGTCACTTCGGATACTGTCTGTGCCCTTCACTTGGCGAGCCCACCAACAGCCACTGAGTCTGCTCAACCAGTATCTGACAATTTTGATGTTCAGCGTGCGCTAGTCGAATTACGAACGGATGCCGCATCCAGGTCTTTTGGCTCTGTAGTGAGGATAATCGACGAAATATTCTCGACAGTGGCTTTCGCATCTCTAGCTATCTCGGAAAAGCCGGTTTCACCTCAAAAGGATGCATATTACAGGCGACAGCAGAAGACACTAGACAACCCTGCAGGCGGTGAAAAGCTTAATCACCATTTTAAACTCTTGACTCCAAAAAATTCCTAATCCCTCTCGATGCAATTATGCTTAAAAACGTTCATTTGGCCAGTATTATTTATCTCATTGTTCTCATCTTCGCTTGATCATGTGCAGATTCCTATTGGATCGTAGTCACTCACAGTACCTCTCATAAACAGTCTTTCTCGAAAACGATCTGACACTCACCAACCGCGCATAATGCCTGTAGAGATGGATCATCTATTCCTCAAATTGGAACCCATAATACACAGATCAGGGCACATAGTTTTTTATACATTTTCTTTATCGGTCTATCTTAGTCTTAAGGAAGATTTTAATCGCTTCGAAAAAGTTGTGCTTTCTATTGTGATAAATCTTTCAGTTTCTCTTACCTCGCTATTCATCTCCGTGTTCTAATGTTCATAAATTTGTTTCCTTCCAGATGAACACTCTTCGAGGCTATAAATAATCCCATGCTATTTCTTGTTGTTGGCCTCTTGAACCAGAGCCCTGGTAGTTGTGATCCTAGTTATTTAGCCCAATCAACCTTTGTCTCTCCAACCCGGTCTGACAGCCTTGAACTTTATGTATTTACACGTCTTTCATGTAGCAAAAGGATTTCTTGCAACTA